TTGGTGTACTTTTGCATAATTAATGTGATATTTGCTGTTGTATACATGCTGATAATTTGTCAAACCTCGGCTCAAATATGCCAGGGAGACAGCACAACATTAAAAGAATCTCAGTCTCTTAATTAGAACATCTTTTTGCTAAATCTTAGATATTAAATTTCAATTTTTCATAAGAAAACTCAAAGCTAAAATCTTGTGTTAATAAAAACGAGTGTATTAAAACTCACAGCCAGTCCAAGCAAATATATATATATCCTTAGCAGCGCACTAACTGGTCATGTGAAAGCTCGGACAAGTTGCGGCTAGTGAGTTGCGGGTTGTGATGTCAGTGCTTGGTGCCACTACTCCTTTCCGAGCATGCTCATGACCCCTATGTGGGCTGTTATCCGATGCTCAGCTGCTGGAGTGATGCTGGGGCAACTTGGCTCACATACCGACAGAGAGGGCTCTGTGTGCCCGCTGCGGCACGTGTGCCACAGGTTCACCACTACTGCCCTAGAGTGATCCATGTTGCTCCAGTGGCTCCCCATGGTCACCGGCATGGTGGTCTGCTGGAGAATGAAAATATAAAGACCAGCTGTCACCCAGGTCTGTTGCTCTTCTTAAAGGAAACTCATGGGTTTCTTGTTAGGTAAAGGAAACAAGTAAGGAGAAACATGAGATTAATTTAGATGGTGCTCTAGTGTAAAAGAAAATAATCAGTGAGATAAATTGTGTAATACCACCTAATGGCTGGAGGAACCAGACTGTTAAATTTCAAAGCTCTCCCCCCCTCAGCCAACAAACAACTTATTTGCAAGTAAAACCATAATACAGCAGGAAAGACACTGACCTGTAACTTTTTGTATTGATATACTTTTTTTTACTGGCAGGGAGGGGTTTTTTTCACATGGGGGAGCAGTCAAAAATATACCCACCCACCTGTAGTCTGCCACCTTACTTTGTTTCTATGTAGATCCACCCATTTATAGTCTCATACACTCTTGCTTAGAGAGATAGTGAGAGAAAAGTAAAATTCCATGAGCAATTGAAAAGAAGTGGAGATACAGTTTCTCAATGAAGTCAGTTCATATGCTCTGCTGTGAGACACTATGATGTATTTGTAACATGTGGACTAGCAACATGGGGTCTGAGTGTAAAGCGTCTGATGCTCTAGACAAGAGCCAAGACTGTATCTTAAGGACATAACAAATTGCCTTACACTGATTCATTAAGCCCAGGTCTGGCCATCTGGGGCCTCAGACAGGGGTATTTTTACTAGACCTGTTTTAAGGAGAGGGATTTTTTAAACTGCAGCTGGGGATTCAGTGCAGGATTTCTGCATGAGAAGCACAAGCCCTACCATTGACCTCTGACCTTTTCTCTAGTGATGGCAGCAAGGAGGATACAGAGAATTAGCGGGCCCAAAGAGGGCTTTGGGGTAAAACTAGGTCCACAGCAGCAGCAATTGCTGGCTAGAGTCTTAGAGAGGAAGAGCTTTTCCTGACAAGGCCTTTACTGGGCAAGGGACATGTCACAGTTATGGGAGTTTAAGGACCTTTAGATGTTGCAATTGTCCTCCCATTTCTTCCAGCAGTGTGTTCAAGTCCTTTACTCCAAGTTTCAAGTCAAATATCAAGTTTTTACTTTCAAGTTCAAGTCAAGTCTCAAGTCATTGCAAGAAATGTTTGAGTCAATTTCAGGTTGCTTCTCCAGTCTTAAGAGCCAACTTTAACAGAAAAAAGGGAGATGGTATGTGTGTGGGGTGGGAGAGTTGTAACCCCTATGATGTTCCCATCTGCACTTCAGAGATGCATTAGAGTCTTTTACTTCAGCCACTATTTATTTAAACAAAGCTGTGCAATTATTTGAATTTATCAAGATTGCAGTTTAGAAAAGTGATTTTGTTGACACAATTGGCTCCCAGCCTGGTGCTCCCTGGAAACATGTGGGAACTCATCAGAGGCAGCAGGCAGGAGAAGAGCTATTGTGCTTCCTTCTGAGGAGAGCAAAGTATTCCAAAAAGAGCTGAAGACTTCCCCCTAAACAGGGAGTCCCTGGCTTAGGTAGTCCCCAGGTTAGGGATGAGTTCTGTTCCTGAGAACATCCTTAAGTTGAATTTGTATGTAAGTTGGATCACATGAGTAAGCCAAATGTTTGTCTTAGTATAGCATATATTTTACTTTTCCAGGCATATAAAACACTTAAGAAACACTTCCATATGCACTAAAACATCATAATCACAATACAGCATTGTAATAATGAGAATAATACTGTAATAATAAAGTAATCACAGCTACTGAAGAGAGAGAGAGAATCTGTATGTATACAGTACTGAAAAAACAAATAAAAGAAATAGTTATTAAAATAGTTTAGAACATTCTTTCATATCAATATCTTACAGAGTTAAGCTAGCTCACTATCATTCTTGCATAGCTTATAACAAAGTCATGAACATGAAGCATTTTGAGCACTTTAAAGTACTTTATGTTGTTTGTTCTTTTTGCTTGTTCATTTTATGAATATATTTCTCTGTTAATTTACAATTACGAATAATAAAATGCCACAGTTCCAAACAAAACTGAAATAAAACAAAACAGAGAAAATAATCAGATCATGTTTTCTTTCTTTTTATTAGGTAATCTTTGCAGGTCTGTTGCCCACTTGGGAGGGCATCAAACCTGCAAATTCTACTCAGACAGGTTGATTCTCTCTCCTATCAATTCAACATCATTTCCCCATCTGTAGTATGGGCATGCTAATACTGATCTAGTTCCCCTTTAGCATTTACCTTTGTAACCACACCCTCAGCTGTTACAAGGCCATTTATGATGAGAAAAAAGAAAATGCTGTATAAACAACCCTTGAGGCCAACTGCAAGAAAGAGGCTCCACTGATAATCTTGTCCCCAGCAGCACAATCACACCCTGACTCTCCAGCAGGTCCATCCATCTCCATCATCTTCAGTTAATGTTAGGTTTAATGTGACCAGATGGATTAGGAAGTTATGAATAAAACTCAGATTTCAAGCTTTAAAAGAACAACAACAGAGAGGAGTAGGAAGAAGTCAACTTGGCACCTCTGCTTCTGTCCTTCCCTTGCTGTGGTTCTGGTTCATCCTTGAGGCCCTGCATGTGCCCGAAACCAGTGGATTGGGTATGCTTGAGCCAATGCTGAAGAACGAAAAGTTGTGAACATCTCTAGGGAAAATCTAGAAAAAAGAGACTATGGGGGGTTGGGGGGAGGAGTCATGAATATCTCTAGGAAACTGTGTGCCCACTGATGACATATCACATTGCATAGTTCCTTAGAGATATTCACAGCTTTTCCTGAAATATATTCATATAAGGTTTATGGCAGTCCATGCATTCATAAGTAAATAGCTCAGGGATTACTTGAATCATAACCGGCCACCCCTGCTTCTTTCCACCACCTTCCCCATGTAAAAAAAAGTGGAAATCTTGAGTCAAGTAGAGTCAAGTCTAGTCGAGTCATTTGTTTGTTGCCTCCAAGTTGAGTCTGAGTTAAGTGGGTGACTCAAGTCCCCAACACTGGCTTTTTTCTCATTGTTTCTCACTGTTGCTCTTCCTCCCCCCGGCCCTCGAATGGGGAAAATGAGGTATTTTGAAGGACATCAATACCAAACTGTAACCATCTGTCTGTCAAGGTGCATTCCACCTTGTTTTGCTATGTGTTGCAGGATAGATTGTCATGTTATCGGTGCTGTTTGCAGGGGAGTGCTCCAATGCCTCACCTCCCTGGTTAGCCTCTCTGCCTCAAGCACAGTGGCTTCCTGCCTTCTGCTCTTTTGCAGCTGGCATCTGCGCAATCACTGAGGATGCCTAGCCCTGGAGCCCCCAAAATCCTGCAATTGACATGATGTATTTTGCCTCTTTCTGTTTTTCATGGATTGTATGTAGTTAATGGGTGGTCAACTAGATGCATATGTGCTGTAAATAGTGAAGACAGTGGGAGATGGTGCTGTGACTTGGCAGGAGTTAGTGGGGTCTTGAATCTGCTATATAGTCAACTCTTTATGGCTTCCTCTCCAACACTGCACTACTGTCTGTTCTTCTACCCAGAAGGTTAAAGGCAAAGCACTGCAAAGCCCAGGGGCTGGCTGTATGCATATAGAGTGGCATTTTTGTACTAACAAATGTAACTGGTCTGCTGGAGTTAGTGTGAATCTCCATCTAGTTAAGATTTTAAGTCCAACAATAGCTGGCTTCCTCTTTGCTAGTAGTATTGTAAGACTCAGACCTACTACCTTAAAAAAGCAAGACAGGATTAACTGTTGATGGGATCCAGATCCCACTGAAATTGACAGCAACACTCCCATGAATTTGAATTCAGCTAAACTATTCATCACTGAAACAATATTGTGCAGTATGCAAAAGCTTTAGTAAAAATTATAAATACCCTTTTTTACACTTACTGGAAAATGTTTGTTTTACTTTCTACTGAATGTTTGAGATGCTTTTGTGAAAAGCTCTAAACCATTTTCTGGATCTGAAAAATATGATTCTGAAATGTATGCACACAAGTTCCTATTAATCATTCAGCACCTCCTGTTTAAAATGAGCGTGAATGTTGGTCAGATAAACTCTTTCCTTACTTTTATGTTGTGGTTTAAAATTAGAAGGGAATGAACTGGTTTGAAAGCATGCTATGTCAAGGTGGAGCCAATAAACACTATTGGCTCAATGTACACTTCAATTATCAAGATTTCCAAAAATCTAAATCAATTTTTAATATCTGTTTCTCACATCTCCTCACTTCCTCATTTGATTGCAAACAGAAGCTGAAAATGCCAATATTTTGTAAGACAGATTGCACATGTGGTAACTCTGGCCCAAGTGAAACCAGGCATTACCGAAAGTCATGCAAGGTTTCCAGCCCAATTGCCAGACCAAAGAGGTTGGGATAAGTGTGCATAATTATAGGAACCATCTTCCAGCCCTTTTGCTTGTAGCCCATTGCCTTGTCCAGCCTAATACACTATCAAGAAATTGGAATTAATGGCTTCCATTAACTCTAATGCTTCATTTCTGTTTTTCTTCAGTGCTTTGTCATCTGTGGTGGCTTTAGGAGCAAACATAATCTGCAACAAAATCCCAGGGTTGGCCCCACGGCAACGAGCAATCTGCCAAAGCCGTCCTGATGCCATTATAGTGATCGGAGAAGGGGCCCAGATGGGAATCAATGAATGCCAGTACCAATTCCGATATGGCAGGTGGAACTGTTCAGCACTGGGAGAGAAAACAGTCTTCGGTCAAGAGCTTCGAGTAGGTAAGGGATTCCTTAAAGTAATATTCAAAAGGAAAAGTTGCAAGTGTATGTTTTTGGGCTTCCTTCTGACAGAGTCATGTATTTTGTAAATCCACAATATTTGGTGACATTGTACACAGTACAGTGGTACCTTGGCTCACAAACTTAATCCATTCCAGGACTCTAGTCGTGACCCAAATTGGTCATGAGCCAAGTTAAATTTCCCCATAAGGTTCAATGTAAATAAGGTTAATCCGTTCTGTAACCATTTTTTTAAATTAGAAAAATGTGAAGCAAAGTGACAAAGAACAAAAATCGCAGCCATCTCCCCCCTCACCCCAAGCACAAGCATGGCCATCTCCCCGCCCCCCCAGCATGACCGAGATTGTCCCCGTCATCCCTGCATGCCCCCGTCATCCCTGCACATGTTTGGGGGGTGGGGGGAGATGGCTGCGATCGCTGGTGCACTTGGGCAGAGAGAGACGGGCATGAACGGGGCGTGCTGGGGGAGAGAGAGAGACAGGCGCAAATGGGGAGTCCTGGGGGAGGGAGAGATGGGGGCAATCTCGGCCATCTCTCTACTTGGCGGGGGGGAAATGGCTGCAATTGTGCTGGTTGGGTGGGGAGATGGCCGAGATTGCACCCATCTTTCCTGCAGGAGCACACCCATGATCACTCACATCTTCCCTGCATGAATGCAACTGTGTTTGTGGCCATCTCTCCACTTGGGGTGTGGGGTGGGGTGGGGAGATGGCTGTGATCTTGGTTGCCACCCAATGTGGAGTTTGCAACCCAAATCCAAATTTTCATGAAATTTTTGTTCACGACCCAATTTGGTCATGAACCAAGGCGTTCGTGAGCTGAGGTACCACTGTATATGTACCATTCAGTATAACTATAGTTCTTTTTTCTGTTCTAACTTAATTTTCTTAATATAATGCAGTGGGTAGATTTCTTCTCAGGAACTTCCATAGAAAAACATTTTAGAAGATCTAGATTAATGTAAGTTTATAAAACTTAGACTATTTGTGGACATTAAATCAATACATTTACAAATCAATGACATATTAACAGACGTATAATAGATGAGATGCAACCATCTCATCTTTGTTAGTCAGAATACCCTAGGCCAGTGATGGCAAACCTTTTAGAGACCAAGTGCCCAAAACCCACTTATTTACTGCAAAGTGCCAACACTGCAATAAAACCCAAATACTGAGGTTTTAGTTTATAAAAAACTCACAGCCAGTCCAAGCAAATATATATATATATATATATCCTTGTCAGCACACTGACCAGCCATGTGAAAGCTCAGATGAGTTGTGGCTAATGAGTCGTGGCTTGTGACATCGCCTGGTGCCGCTACTCCTTTCCGAGTATGTGCATGGCCCCTATGTGGACTGTTATCCAATGCTTGGCTGCTGGGGTGACTTGGCTCACATGCCGACAGGGATGGCTCTGTGTGCCCGCTGCGGCACATGTGCCATAGGTTTGCCACCATTGCCCTAGGCCAATATTTCTCAACCCCACCCATGGCTTTCAGTGGTACAGACAGCCCAGGACCTTGCTTGAGTACCCTATGGCATGGCTTTACCATGCAGACTGCATAGGCACTTGTAGCAGCAGAAGCTGATTAAAGAACAGGGCTGATACTTTAAATAATATATAACCTGGGAATAAAGAAAAAGGGAATAAGAGAGCATGCCTTTTACAGAAGGAAGTGGATGTTAAAAGCAGCAGGAGGGAGGAATGGACAAAACTGATGGTTGTGTATAGGCTATAAATTAAGTATGAAAGGAAAAGGGAAGAATAAATGATTGGAGGTGGTTAGGGAGATTTTGAGAGGTATGTGAGGGGGAAGAAAAAAGAAATATAAAATATACTGTTTTCTGTACTTAGAGAATATCTGGCCGTATTTGGAATTTTGAGAGAGTTTAAAGGGATTTGCACAAAATGACTGCCACAGAGGTGATTGTTCATTCATAAAATAGTTGTAGGGGGCATGTCTAGTCACAAAACACTCATTTTCCAGGTAGTGAACTGGCAAGACTAAGGTTCTTGGCATAATTACTTTTCTAAGTACAAGCAGAGGTAGGAGTCTGAGCTCCAAAATACAAAGCCAAATAAAGATTTTGAGCCTGAAGGAAAGGAACTGCTTTGATTTGTAGCATGACACTCTCCCAAAGGGAAAAAAGTTATTTCAAGGAATTAAATTAAAAGTAGGAGAGGCAGGAAGCTTGGCGGATGCAAAGAAGGCTGTCCATGCATGATCTGGTACCTTATAGGCAATGGGTCCTCAAACTACGGCCTGTGGGCTGGATCTGGCCTGCCATGCCCATTTATCCAGCCCGCCTCAGAGGTTTTGGACTCCCCGCGCCACCACTGCCTGTCTCACCATGTACATACCATGCGTGCAGTGAGGTGGTGGCTTGCTCACTTGGAGATTGTTTTGGACTCGCTCAGAGATCTCCGAGCGAGCGAGCCGCCGCCTCGCTGCGTGCACCCGCTGCTGCCTCACCGCCGTCTCATTGGCTTGCACCTGCCACTGCCGTCTTTCAACTGGCCCCCTGTTGAAAAAGTTTGAGGACACCTGCTATAGGCACTGTGTTAGAAAGCCGGACATAAATCCTCTGGATAAGCAAATGGTTTTGGAAACTCTAACCGTCCAGAGAGCTTCAACTACAGGCAATATGGAATTGAAATAAAAATGAATGATTGAATGAATGAATGAATGAATGAATGAATGAGCGGGGAGGAGGCTGCATCATGAACAGTCAATGTCTGTTCTTAACCTGAGGAAACCTTCATTATGGAACTCCCTGCTACAAGGAAATAGCTGTGGAATTTGGGGATTCCTTGAATTATTTTATATCAATATAAAAAAAAATCTTAGTGATGGTTGGCTGATTATGCTAAACTCCATCTGTTACTCTTTTGGTACTAGTGAACCTCATCATATTCAGCTCTTTCAAGTGGGTCCTGGAAGTAGAAAGTATGGGCCAGTTCAGGAGGCATACCATGCTGGAGGTTTTGATTGTGAAAAATATAATAATTATAGAATTATATGCCATTCTGGAATACTAGAATCACAGAGGGAGAGCAACTTGATAGCCATTTTAGTTGCATTCCCCTCTATCAGCAGAACACCTTAAAAGATACTTAACATTTTTCAAATCATACTGTACCACTGAGAAGAGAGACTGAGGGAATCTGCTAGGGTGAGATTAGGCAAAGCAAGACAAGTAGGCTATATTTTACAAAGGAAAACAACATCTATATGGCGTCTTTGCACAGTTTATACATTCATCATGATCAAATACTAATGGTTTTGCTGACTATACCATTTCAGTCTGATAGTATATGTACATATTGAGGCACATGCTTAAACACTCTCACATGAAGAAAAGCTTCCTGCATCTGGAATCACATAAATGTTTGGGGAGAAGGCTAGACTGAACCAGAGCTTCTCTCATTGAAAAGGTAAAGTACAGAAAAAGCTTTAACTCTTGATTCTGCTGGCCGTCACATTTTTTGTGGCAACAATTCAAAACATTGTTACAGTAACTAAAGAAACTATTTAGCAGATATGATGGACTTTGTGGTTGCACACAGGATCCAGGATGATTTTTAAAAATTTAGAGAACCTATCTAGGTCATGTTTGTTTTGTTCTCTTAATAGTTGGGGTTGTGAAGCTTGGGGATATTCTTAGACCCATCACTATTTATGGAAGCACACATGGCTCTGTCAGGAAATATCTTTTCAGGACTGGAGAGAATGAATGTTCGGATTCACACAGAAGCACTATGCTCAGTCTCAACTGTTTATTGGGAACAGTCAGGAAACCCTTCTCTGACAGAGAAAAAACACCAGCGCTGATGGGTGCCAGTACGCATAACCAAGTACAAGGGGAACAGAACATGGACAGTGTTTTATAGGGTTGGGGTCATGTAGACATGGCAGGGAGAAGAATAAGTTTCTAAACGGACGATAATGTGAGAACAATGTAGAAGCACAAAAACACTGATAAATCATTACAGACATCAGGAAAAACATCATGATACATCAAGATAAAACAACCAGGAGTTACAAAATTTAACAGGTTTCAGTGTTTGCTTTTTACAGTCAGAGGAAGGACATTGGAAGAATACAATGTCCTTGTATTTGAATATTCAAACTAGTTGCATTGTACCATCCCCCTGCCTGCTGTGCTCTGCATTTGAGAGCCCTTGCATATCAGAGCTGGGGTTCCTTTTCCCATAGAAGGAACTTGAATGGAAAAACCCTGCAGAATACAGCAGGGAGCAAGGAAAACAGGCAGTTTTCTATGTTCTGAAGTATAAAACTTATTACTTTTATTAGGCCAAGTCCAACACCTCCAAGAGAGGAATTCCTTTCTCCAACTTCAGTTGGTATGCCAGCTACAGCAGTTCCTGGCCAGGGACAGCCTGGCCACAGTGATTCATGCATTGATAACCTCAGGAGTGAACTATTGCAGTGAACTTCACATGGAGCTGGCTGGCTAGGCTGTTGAGTGGGACAGTCTTCTGGGAACATGTAACACCCACAGGAGTGGTGCTTATTACCAACAAGATCTGGGGCTCTGGGCCACAGTATAATGACAAAAAAAGAGCACAAATGTGTATATGCTAATTTACTCCTCTTGTAAAGTCTGTCCCTCTGTGTATATGTGGTATTAGGACTTTATCTCCTAAGGACACCTCTATTCATAAAACAGAATGTATGGACAAGGCGGGTGGGGGGGGGGGAGAGCACATTTGATTTTAGGGAAAAACTACAAGCACTTGTGTGCTAAAATCAGCTAAGCCAGGGAAATTGGATGCAACAGAGATCATCAGGGTCCCCATTTGGTTATTTCAGTAAGTGCCCATGGACAGCAGATTGGTGAAGCTGATGGTCTCCCAGAGACCATCTAGTGCATGGGTCCTCAATCTATGGCCCAGGAGCCAGAGCCGGCCCCCATGCCCATTTATCCTGCCCGCCATGCCCATTTGGACCTGCC